GATCCTCCCAGGGGTCTGGGTAGATACGGACGTTAGGGGCTTGGTGCTATGGATGTTGATTATTAATCATATAGCGCTACAGGTGATAGCCGGGTTTAACTCGAATGTTTCGGACCGATAGGACAGAGAATTGATCCGTTCCAAATCTCCCGCAAGCCTGTTGTTCTGCTACAATGGAGAGCTCGTCAAGGAATTCATCTCAGAGAACAGTAAGCCCGCTCTCCCTGCCCGACAAGGACTGTACTACATCAAAATCAAAACTGCTGCCACCACATGCCGTCGCCTCAACACCACCACCGCCGCCGCCACCACCACCACAACTACTAGCAGAACCACCATGAGCAACTCTCATGACCATGACCTAAGTGACCTAGATAAAAAGCAACAATTCTAAATCCGAAACATTAAAAGAAGATGGAAACTACTATAGCATATTGGGGTTATATAGGGATAATAGCAAAGAAAATGGAAACTACTGAAACATTAAACTCTCAAACCTCAGACCATGACTTGGAGCCTTGTGGCAGCCGCAACTCTGCTGTCGACCACAGCTGGAGGCAGCTTTAAGCCTGATCTTCTCTGGCTTTAGCGCCTTAGGGCTTTAGGCTCTGCGATTTTGGGGTGTTAGGGCCTGCTGCAAGCTGTAAGGGTTTAGGGTTTAGGGTTTAGGGGTTTAGGGTCAAGGTCGTTTAGGGGTCTGGGTCTCGAATGGAGACTCGCGGGCTTAGGCTGGAGGGGTTTGCGACTGAACTTCCCAGGCGGGCTCAGGACCCTGAACCTTATAGACCCCCTTAAGTAGATAGAATATGGGATATACTATTGGGGTTCTATAGGGATGACGGAAAAGAAAATGGAAAGTACTATAATGGGTCATACAGGGTATATAAAATATGCGGTATATGGGGATCTTATCATAACATACCCAATGCCATATTCTATCTACTTAAGGGGGACTATAAAAACCGTAAACTGAGCGGTGCAGTTTGTGCCGAACCTTGCCATTTGGGGTTTAGGGTCTAGGGGTTACTTTATTTTCCATGATCCCTATATAACCCCAGTATACTATAGTAGTTTCCATGTTCTTTTCCATGATCCTTGTATATAACCTCGATATACTATAGTAGTTTCCACTTTCTTTTCCATTATCCCTATATAACCCCAATATATAACCCCGATATACTATAGTAGTTTCCACTTTCTTTTCCATTATCCCCACATATTTGAAACCCAAATATACTGTAGTAGTTTGCATGTTCTTTTCCATTATCCTTATATATAACCCCAATATAACCCAAGAGAGGCGTGTCATTAGCATGCCCCATCAACAGCACAACAATCGCTGCTGGCGTATCCCTGTCAGGATGCACATGACAGAGGCTCAATCCTAAACCCTATAAGGTCCTCAAAGGGAACCCACCATGGTAACCAAATTGAGGTCCCTTATCAGCAACCCTGCAAAGGGATGCCTGGCGGGTTCCGGCTGCTCTAAATCCAACCAATATGTTCTGTTTATGGAAGGCATACCTTCACCTATCTAGAAAGCCAAGAGCCCATGAAATTGCGGGCTGATGTTTTGTAGTGTCCTACCATTTTGGGTGAAAGCAGACCTTTGTTTTGGGTAACTTGGCTGTCCAGGTAAACCCTAACACATCTAGGCCCTAAACCCTAAACCCTAGCACATCTAGGTTTGAAGTTGCATGCTTGTTGAGTGGGTCTGTTCCAGGGTAGGAGGCTTCGCGTCCGCGCCGCAAATACCACAGAAGAGAACTACATGAGCTGTACTCTAAAGTCCTTAAATGGGTTTATATTAAGGGCTATTCAGGGGGATACTAGGAGTTTAGACTATGGGCCAAATAAAAATTACGGAGAAACAATATTGGCAGGTATTCAGGTACTTTACAGTAAGTATGAAAAGTTGGCACTAGACCCTAAGCCCGAAACCTATGTAGCCACTGGACTACAGGAATTTGGGAAGGTACATTACTCCAGGTCTTTCGGAAAGCTGTGGGCATTCCGATTATAAGGGCTCAAAAGAGAAATTCTATGGAAGTTCGGTTTAGGGTTTAGGGTAGGGTGCAAGTTGCGCAAGGTATCCCTAATTTTGATTAGGGCGGAGCCATCAAGAAAGACAACTGAATTCATCTCCCCCTCCGAAAGAAATCCTTGGGTTTAGGGTTTAGGGTCTCCTGAAAGAAATCCTTGTCAGCAATCTGTCACGTCAACCTAGGTCAAGACTACGTTGAACCCAAAGCCAGAAACAAAACTTTGAAGTGATAGTTTCCCAACATGTTGGGAGCCCCCAAGACAGGGACTCCCAATCTATCGAAACGCCCGAAAAATTAGTACGCCGAACCCTCGGCCGTTAAGCCCAAACCCATCCCTCCAATTTGCCAAGCTCATTCACTCTGAATCAAACCCTAACCCTAAACCCTCAATCCTAAACCCCATACCCTGACTATGGGATTACATCTCTACCCGCAGACCCCAATTACAGTTCGACACCCATTGGGGAGGTTTCCCAAAATTGGGGGGCGGGTATAATTTTGGGTGTCGCCGGAATACGGATTGTAGTATATTGCTGTCCATACTGGGGTCCCGCTATTCTGGGAAACTACCATGTAATAACACGATTCAATAAACTGACTAGCATTTTGGGATACAGTACGCATACGGGGATTGCAAGCCGATAAAGAACCCCAACAACCATACAAAGCCTCTCGGAATCTCTACTATTCTTACTATTATTAAGATTGTTACTATGATGACTGCCTAAACCCCTAACCCCAAATTGCAGTAGTTTCCACTTTTTTCCATTATCCCAACATAACCCCAACCCTAGACCCTAAACCCTAAACCCTAAATATAATATAACCCCTATAAAACCCGAATAGAACCCCAATAGAACCTTATTTTTGCCATTCGTATATAACAACAATATTACCCCTATATAACCACAATATATCCCTAACTTTTCTATAATATAACCTCAATAGAACCCTATTTTACTGTAATGCTACTCCTATATACACCTAATATCACCCCAATATAACCCGAAACCCTAATTAAACCGTAAACCCTTAATATAATATATTCCCTATATAACCCCTATATAACCCTAATAAACCCCTGTATTTTTCTATTTTTATGACAAAGGCCTGAGGTGTCCAGTGCGCCGTAGGCAGACTTCGGGCCGACGGAGGACCGGTAGGTCCGCCTCCATCAAGAGGATTTAGGGAAAATTGGGAGTAATATTAGGGTTATAGAGGGGATACATATGGGTAGGTAGGGTTATATTGGGGAAATATTGGGGTTTAGGGGTTTGGGGTTTAGGGTTTTTGGTGGTTGGGGTTTAGGGGTGTGGGGGTTTAGGGTTTAGGGGTTTAGGGGTTTAGGGTTTGCAAGTTTAGGGTTTAGGGTTTAGGGGTTTAGTTTAGGGATTAGGGGTTTAGGGTGTAGGGTGTAGGGGTTTAGGTTTGGGGGTTTAGGGTTTAGGGGTTTAGGGTTTAGGGGTTTAGGGTGTAGGGTGTAGGGGTTTAGGTTTGGGGGTCTAGGGTTTAAGGGTTTAGGGGCTTAGGGGTTTAGGGTTTAGGGGTTAAGGGTTTAAAGATTCAAGATATGGGGCTAAAAGTATGTACCTTCTTAAGGGGTTATATAGGGATTATATGAGGACTATATAGGGGTTACATAGAGTTATATAGGGATATATAAGGTTCAGCGTTTAGGGGTTTCCCAAAATTGAGGGCACCTTTTTGGGGATCCCTATAGCAAGGATTATATTATGTTTGGGTCTATTTTGGGGTACCCCTATTTTGGTAAACTACCGTATGGTTCTTCCCAAATTATTGGGGTTTAGGGCTTAGGAGTTATTACCATTAGTCAGGGTTTGGGGGGACGGAATTTCGAATTTGAAATGTTGAGACTAAGGAAACTTTATGGATGGGGCCGTTAGTGATGGTAGTGATTATCTCGTCTTGAGGGTTAGGGTGCAGGGTTTAGGGCAAGAAGTGGGGTCGGGTCTGTATGAGGGGTAGTCTAAACTTCTAGTACCCCCCTTAATAGCCCTTATAGTACTGTCTTTGTATTCCCCTATATAAGCCCCCTTTACGGAGTCTAGACGGTAGCTCATGAAAGGCTTCCTAAATTCAATATCGAGGGACAAGGTGGGGTCTATGTGGGGGTTCCCCCTATTTAGGGGAACTACCGGGAGTCTCTGAAAAACCCATTAGGCTTCAGGATTTAGGGTGTAGAGTTTGAGTCGAGGGCCGCCAAAAAAGGAACTTTGAACCTTACATTCAGGCTTTCATAGGCTTTCTATTATTACGATTGGTACTGTTATTAACATTCTGACTATTATTACTACTATCACGACTATGACTATGATTGTTTTTGACTATTATTACTATGAAACGTCGAGTCACTGTCGAATCATTTTTTACCTCCTGTCTCTGCGGTCCCTGTCGCGGTCCCGGTCGCGGTCCCGGCGGTCGCGATCCCGGCTGCGAGACCTTGACTAAACTCTGGGCTTTCCCGTAGAGGGCCCTAGGGGTGCAGGGTAGGGCCAGCGCTTTGAGATGCGGGGGGAAAAGCTTAACATCCGTTGTTTACCAAAGCTGGCACTGACATCAACTGCATCGAAAGCGAGGACCATGCATGTTTGGAAGGTTCAAGTGATGTCTCTGCAGCCTGCTTCAACCTGCAGGCAAAGCATTTTTTGTCGCGCACAGAAGCCCCAAAGAGTAGCTTCAGCAAGCGAAACGGCGCACAGCACAGACTGCACAGCTCTACATCTTTGCTGTGGCCACCCTCTTGGAGGGGAGACCTACTCCATGAACGACCACGAAAGCAGGCCACTCCCCTTTGTGGCACCTTCATGATGCCAAGCCCATACGCCCTCTAGAACTCTAGAACTGTGCCTTCACAGCCTTCACCGGGTACGCCTTCACAACCGTCTTGGCTGGCTGCGCCTTCACGAGAACTTCCTTGCCAAACATTTGGCGCTTGCCGGCCTTGGTGGCAGGCTTCTGGCGAGTCTTGATCATGACCAGGCCCGGAAGGACGAACTTGCCTCAGGATGCATTGTTTCACACAAACTGGAGTCCAGTAACTGAAGGTCCCTCCAAGACGCTCTCTCATGGCGAATCTTATCATGGAACCGCAAGTACATGAACATGAATTTACAACATGGCTGCCTGCTTTCTTCACCTCCGTTGCACCGATATCGGCCAGGGAGGAAAGCACCTGCGTCACCGCGGACTTCTTCAGGCCTGTGTTCTCGGCCACCTGTGCTGCAATGCCACTCTTCGGCAGGGCGCGGACCGCCTTCATTTTCATGACCTTCATGCTCTTGCTGGCGCCGGCAGCCTTCATTGCCTGCTCAAGGCATCATGCTTCAATTTTTGGCATACCAGGCAAAAAGCCCTTCTCCTGCACAGCAAATTCTGAAAACCCTCACCTCTTCAACAAACCTTACCCCAACTCAGAGCATGACAATAGTTGGGCATGCCTCTTGTAAAGGGACTGGTTATGTCCTGGAGTCAATTTGAAGATTTGAAGCTAATGCAAGACAACAGGAATCAATGAGCATCATGTTAGTTTACAATTTTCTCGATCTCCATCCCTCCATGCGGACAGCCACCCCTCATCCCCTGCCGCTCACAATCTTCTTGTGCAATTTACAAGCCTTTCTTAGAGAGCAAACTCCGGAAATGCAGGACCTCCCAACACAATCATTATTGTTGAGGTAGGGGTTGTAAGTAGGGTGGAGCGACCATACGGGCGGGGACTTTCATTGCTACTTCCATGGCCTTCATGGGAGCCATGACTTGAAGTTTTGGAAAGCACGGGAGGTGCGGATGCTAGGGCCAGTACAGCGTGGGCCAAAACAGCTCATAACCGCGGCGTGCGGCGTGTAACCACCACAACCAGCTAACATGTCAGAATGCTTTCCACTTTCATGCTCAAGCCCCTCCCTCACCTGAGACTTGCAGCCCGCAATGCAGCCTTTTTCGCCCACAGAGAAGCCCCGAAGAGTAGCTTCAGCAAGCGAAACGGCGCACAGCACAGACTGCACAGCTCTACATCTTTGCTGTGGCCACCCTCTCGGAGGGGAGACCTACTCCATGAACGACCACGAAAGCAGGCCACTCCCCTCTGTGGCACCTTCATGATGCCAAGCCCATACGCCCTCTAGAACTCTAGAACTGTGCCTTCACAGCCTTCACCGGGTACGCCTTCACAACCGTCTTGGCTGGCTGCGCCTTCACGAGAACTTCCTTGCCAAACATTTGGCGCTTGCCGGCCTTGGTAGCAGGCTTCTGGCGAGTCTTGATCATGACCAGGCCCGGAAGGACGAACTTGCCTCAGGCTTCATTGCTTCACACAAGCTGGAGTCCGTTATCTGGGCTCCCTCCAAGACGCTCTCTCATGGAGAAACTCATCATGGAACCGCAACTACATGACATGAATTTACAACATGGCTGCCTGCTTTCTTCACCTCCGTTGCACCGATATCGGCCAGGGAGGAAAGCACCTGCGTCACCGCGGACTTCTTCAGGCCTGTGTTCTCGGCCACCTGCGCTGCAATGCCACTCTTCGGCATGGCGCGGACCGCCTTCATTTTCATGACCTTCATGCTCTTGCTGGCGCCGGCAGCCTTCATTGCCTGCTCAGGGTATCATGCTTGACATGCTATGTTATGAAAATCCAGCACTATTTTAATTGTGCTACTTCCATGGCCTTCATGGGGGCCATGACTTGAAGTGAGTGAAGGACCAGGGGGACGGTATGGCCAGTGCGGCGCGGGCCAAAACAGCTCAAGTTTTCCCCACCATGGAACTCTTCATTGCATTGATATTATAGCTGAGCTGACCATTACAATGCTGCAGACTGACATAGCACTTACCAGGGGCCACTAAGAAGAATGCTGTCCTTCGACAAGATGCCTATTTGGGATTCTATTCTAGTTTGGAGGATGCCATCATCAGTCAAAAGCCAACTGCAATTATCGCAGGGTCCGGATCTACCACCATATAACTCGAAACCCGTAACCCTAAACGCTACACCCTTAACCAGAACCCTAAACCCTTACCCCTACACCCTCAACCCTCGGCCTGAAACCGAAAAGCTAATCCCTGCTGAGCTTTGCACCGATAGCGACCCGGGGGCTCCCGGCCACGATCCCCGCGCCGGTCGCCGTCTGGTAATGTAGAGTTTGTAAGGTCTACTTGAGGTCAGGGGACTTAGTAAATAGGTTAATAATTAGGATAACTAGGGTTACTATGTGGGCTATGAGGGTTTTTAACCTACTTACTAAGTCCCCCCGACCCTCCAATACCCCAGCTTAAACCCTAAGGGTGTAGGCTTGCAGACATAGAGGGTTTGCAAGGGTTTAGGGCTTAGGGTATATAGGGTTTAGGGTTTGGGGTATATAGGGTTTGGGGATATTACCCTGAGAATGAATTGGAAGCTTGGGGCTTGGGGGTTTGAGAGGTTGGGGCCTTGGGGTTTGGGGCTTAGTCTTAGGGTTTAGGGTTTAGGGGTCAGCGGGTTTAGGGGTGCAGAGTTCAAGCTAAGGGAGTTGGGAAATTTAGGAATTTAGAGGGTTTAGGATCCAGGGTCCGGGGATGGTAAGAGTTTAGGTTCAGGGGTGCTTTAAGGGTCCAGGGCCGAGGGTCTGGAGTTTGGGGCTCGGCTTTGGAAACCGGTGAACAGATTGGGATTTAGCGTTTACGGGGTTGGGGGTGCCTAAACCCTAAACCCTAAGCCCTAAATCCTAAACCCCAAACCCTAAACCCTAAACCCTATGGAGCCCCGAAGAAGTGTGGGCGTAGAGGCCAGGGTTGAGAGGAAGCCTGGTCTTCTTGACAAGAGATCCCCTTCAGGTTTCCCAAAATTAGGGGTATATTCTAAGGGGTTATAGGGATTATACAAGGACTATACAGGGGTTACATCGGGGCTATATAGGGACATATAGGGTTTAGGGTTTAGGGTTTCCCAAAATTAGGGGTACCTTTTTGGGGGTCCCCATAATAAGGCCTCACAAAAGCTCATCTACGTGCGAGGGAACTTTTGCAATAGCTGGTAACAAAAGCAGAGTTGCTGTTGTTTGGGATTACTCCTGACTGGGAACCCTTCGTCAAAGCACTTCCAAATATGAGCTATAGTCTAAATTCCCAGCTCCCCTTTAGTACATCCTATATTACTGCAAGAGTTCAGACCCCTAAACCCTAATCCCCTATACAACCCCCTTGAAGGAGTCTTGACTACAGCTCAATGGTACCCAGCCTCCACGTCGGCCGCCTCCATTCTCAAAGACAAAGCCTCGCAGCTAAGGTTGCTTTACATGGCAGGTCGTCGACAGTGCGTTCCCTCATTAGGGTTCAGGGTGTAGGAGTCTGGACCTAGGGTTTAAGGGTTAGGGTCTAGGGTGTATGGTTGAAGGCTTTCCTTTTTGTGTCCCTGGTGCCATACGGCGCCTAATTAATTTGGCAGCTTACAAAGACGGAGCTCCCCCTTATATAGCCCTTATTCTAGGAACTTCCAAAAATTAGGCACCCTTAATTAATTTCCACATATCTAGGGTATAAACGGTGCCATTCCCTCTGACAGAACCTGTCCCTCAAGAGGTCTTTTATGACTCCCACTACCCATCGTGATAACGGCTACTGGAAGGTGGAATGACCTAAGATATGGACCTAAACCCTAAACCCACACGAGCTATAGTCTAAACTCCTAGTATTCCCCTTGATAATCCTTACAATAGTCCCCTATAGAATCCCCTATATAACCACCCTTTAAGGCATTTAGACTATGGCTCACCTCAAGGTATGGACCATTCTGTTGACCCTAAACCCTGAACTCACATCTTTCAACTTTTTGGCATGCTGGATTTTGACTCGAAAGCTTTGGGTTCGGGAGTTCCCTGGGATGTAGTCATGATGCTGGGATTGAAGGTTTTAGGGCCTGGGGTGGAAAGTTAGGGGATAATTTTCGCTGAGGGCTTGAGGCTTAGGCCTGAGAATTCGAATCCACACTCTTTTGCTAATCCATGAGAGTTCCCTTCACAGATCCCACGTTAGTTTAGGAGTTTAGGGGAGGGTAAGAGCACTCAATGTTGCGAAGCTCTCAAAATTAAAGCCCTCCTCGAAAACTCAAGGCCCCACGCCTCTAAGAAGAGACAGCCCCATCCCCATCAGCATTAACAAGCCCCACCCACCCCCAATAACAAATGGGTTTAGTGTTTGGGGTTTAAGGCCTAGGGTACATATGACAAAATGCTACATTTGGAGCATTTGTTGGGAGGGGGGTTGGAGGTTTTGTTCCTAGAGGGCAGAACTTAGTCTCTACGTCAGAAACCCTCCAGATCCCTGCAGGTCTATGGCTGATACCTCAAAACCCTGCAGACCTGATTCTTAGGAGTTAGGTACCCAGGGTCAGGCAGGACTTTGTCCATCAACTCCCTTAAGAGCTTCTCCTCAAAGACTCCGTCCCCGCAGCTTATAGTCACCCTTAAGTAGATAGAATATGGGGTATATGGGGATCTTATTTTAACATACCCAAACCCAGATTCTATCTACTTAAGGGGGACTATAACCCCTAAAATCTCTCCATGAACCCCTTACAGGCACCTTGTTTCAGCAAACTCTCATAAAAGCTCATCTCACCTTGCCCTGAAACTTGATCCACCTATCCCGAACCATATTGGGCTTCATTACCTATGGACCTTCAAGTAGCTCCCTAAACCCCAAAACCCTAAACCCTTAAAACCTTAAACCCTAAACCCTAAACCCTACACCCTAAACCCTAAACCTCGAACCCTTAAACCCTAAACCCTTAAACCCTTAAACCCTAAACCCTAAACCCTTAGCCTCCTTGCGGTCCTTTGCCGCCTGGCTTTGGCCCCTCCGCCGCCGACATCAGTGGGGCCTGGCGACGCCACGACGCGGACTCTCACGGCAAGATTTCATGGCGCAGGGGCTTCCAGCCTAGGCTTCTTTGCCATCTGTATACAGAAATATATGTTTACTTTTTAAGTTTCTGTATTTGTTTGTATACCTGGTAGCTTCCATAAATAGGGGGACCGCAGTTTAAAGCCCAAAATGCAATAGTCCTTATCAACATGAGAATCCCCAAAAAAGGGACCTCTAATTCTAGAAATATCAATCTGAGGGCTCTAACCCCTAAATCTCCGACCCTCAAAACCTAAACCCTAAACCCTACCCTAACCCCTCACCCTTCAACCCTCAAACAGCGCCACCTGCCTGGTCGTTGCCCTTGTCTTTGCCTTTGCCTTTCCCTTTGCCCTTGCCTCTGCCTGCCAAGGTTGCATTGAGGCTTTACCACACCCTGCGAGGGACTTAGGATCTAGGATTTTGGGTCGAGGTTTTAAGGCCTAGGGCCTCGGGTATAGGGGTGAGTTGAGAATTTGGCATTACAGGTATAGTCCCCTTTAAGTAGATAGACTATGGCGTTGGGTATAGTATAATAAGATCCCCATATACCCCATGTTCTATCTACTTAAGGGGCCCTAAACACTAAACCCTAATCCCTAAATAAGTAGTTCCCGTTTTATTTTCCATTATCCCATTATAACCCCAATATTCTATCTACTTAAGGGGGACTATAAAGGTAAGGCTTTCTACCCCAACTCAGTCCTACGGTAATCCGCACAAGGGTAGTCCTGGGAGGTTAACGAGAGATCCAAAGGAACTCAACTTTCAGAGGCTACTTCAGGGTCCTTTCATAATTACCAATATCATTTTGGGGTCCATTTGTACCATAGACCATAATTATACAAGGAATATGTAACCACAATATTGGT